ACACACGATGAATAGAATACACTGACTCTCGTGGATAGGGTGAAACTCGTCCTGTGCTTGCTCGACGTTCATTATACTCAATGACAGGATAAGGTGGATCAGGTTGCCTGCTTATTTCAACTGGCAAAGCACTCACACTTCTTGTCTGTATCGGGAAGATTGTGGTGGTATTGGTGTTGGTGTTGGTGGTAGCCGACGGTGCCGGGGCTCTTCGAATAGTCACCTCACTGACTGAGGGCTTGGTTTCAATAATCTTGGGCGCGCTGTACTGTTTTGTTCGACGGTGTATAGTCACATCTGGACTACTGTTGGTAACCATATTCTGTGGTTGATCCAAATGATAAATACTGATCACCTTGGAGCGATCTTGTGGACGGGTTTTCACTGATCTTCTGGACTGGACCATATACGGATCATACTCGGTTGTAACGGGTAAGGAATGTCTTGACGGATTGTTATGATCAACAATGGCATAAACCTCCCGTGGTTTCGGTGGAACGGCACTTTGCAGAGTTTGCACGCGGTAAGATTTTACCGGAGCTTCAAGAATACGTGACGTGCTAATGCTTCTTGTCCGAGAACTAACTGGGACATATTCCACGCGAGAAACTGGGGGATTCATCACTGTTGTAGTAGTGGTCGCAATCGGTGGAGGATTAGAACGGTTCACATCATAAATGCGAACTCCGTTACGGGATAGTCGTGGACTTTCGGATAAATACCGGGTACGTCGACGAGTGGTTGGTTCGGAGTACAAATGTTTCTGTCGAACCACAGGGATAAGTTCCGGACCACCGACGTTATCATTTGATGGACCGCGACGAGAAATACGGCGGAGTTCCGGAGACAAATATTTAGTCCCCGAACNGGCCCCGAACGCCTTGACGTGGCTCCGGGCATTGCAGACGTCCGACGCCAATACTCCGTTGGTTGGGATGTATGCACCTCATGTGATGGGGCACCACGAACTAACACAGATCGTCGGTTTGAAATAACTCGGTCGTATGGCTGTTTCCCATTGGTATACATATAGTAAGGTCCGCCGACTTCAGTCATGGTTGTGTATTGTTGATATTGTAATTGTCAGATCAGAAGCGGTGGACAATTGGTGCACAAGAGAAGAAACCGTTCACCATTTAGAGTTTGTACAAGTTAATCTAATGTGATTAGCCCTTGTGTTCCTCGACTGAATCGTTTCAATCTCGTTGGATCACAAACATTTCTCAATATTCATCAGTCGTCTCGAATTTGGTAACGATATCTAAAACCAAATGAACCTCCTGCAAACAACCAATCCTTGCTTTCATATGCACAGACCCTTGGCGTGGGCGTCATATGGTTTATTCAACGCGGATTGTCGGTTCGTATGCTTGATGGTAGGGTGACAACTATTTGCGGTGTCAATATTCTATTGTATCCAACATGATACCTTTCCATTAATTTCAATAGCACACAGACAAGCATACATAACGACAAAATGGTGGAGAGATATTCACAGACTTTCTTCGACAGTGTTATCTGTTTCGTAAAATACAACACATTGCTGAGTTTGGGCATCGAAAGAACCAAGTAACAACAAAAGAGACTGAGCGAGAGCCCAATATGAGCGCACAAACAAACGCTCACAGAAGTTCTGTTGTCAAGTTGCGGAGTGGCATTTGACAGTGTAAACTCCAGACTTGGTTGTTGGGGTGCTTGTTTGTTTATTTCTTGGCTAATTCACATGTGCATATATATCGGATGTCAATCACGAATAAAACCAACGGTCGCCGAACCCAAAAATAAGTGCCTATCACATGAGGGGTTGTCAACTGCGTGCACAAAGAGACCATTGACTGAGACGGGAGTTTGGCGAACATTTGCTTTTGCTTCACTCGGCTAAAACATTAATCATTCCCGCCTTGAATAGTTATGCGTCTTTCGATTTCATCTAATTTATTCTCATCATTTATCACTCATTAATACGACCTATCGACTTATATGCTTCAGGGTGCTGGCAGTGACTGGAGCTAATGGAGAAAGAAAACTACAAAATTGATGATGAAGTCCTAAGGGAACTGATGTCATCATAACGAAGAAAATATTCATTGAAGATTCAATAAATTCATGGTGAAAACAGGAACCCATCGGTACAAGAGTAGGTAATCACGTGTTCGAGATGGTAACACTGACACCACTTATCTCAGACTGGTGACTGTTTTTCCAGCCGTACACGAAATTAAAGTAACTGAGGGGTAAAATCATACATCAGGGGCCTTGGCAATGGGTTGAAGAGTCGCGAAGAGGATTGTTTGGAAAGGTTTGATTTTAAATGTTTGCGTTTATGCTCATTAATTTTTTTCCACCTTCATGTGTAAAGTGCTCAGCAACCATTCTGGATGTGAGTCCTTGCGAGTATCGCAATTTTCAGTGAGCGTCATCTACTCACTGAACATGTCGTATATCATATATCATCTATTAAACAAGGGAAACCAATAGCTTATATTCATGTTACGTTTACTGTTATTCATCGTAGATCTCTTATCCAATGACAAACTATTACAGCCACTCTGATCACAGATATTGAGCGCTATATTTCTTTATGTGGACAACCTACTCTCACTCTACGTTGGTTATTAAGCACCCAAAATTCGGGACCAATTGTAACTTGAAGCCCTATTGCCGTCCTTTGCCTTTCTAACAAAGTAAAACTTAACTCATCTTCTACCACTCTTTATTTTTGCTGGTTTATCAACTAACTATTTTGGCGAACTAGCTGCGGTAAAAACATCACTTGCGGCAGTATTTGAACCTTGCGAATGCTTTTGGAAAATTGATTAATGGGTACATCATCTGTGATTGATCTTTACTGCTGGGATAGTGTGTCACGTGAAAAACTGTGGTCTCTCACCACTTTCATTGCAATCAGAGACACAAGAACACAGGACCTGTGGTGAAACGCATTTATCTGATGACGCGAGTACGTACGTATGTGTCTTCGAATGGTAAACAATGTGTGTACGTTTCTGGATCCCAGAACAGCAGGATGAATGCATATTTGTTCATGGACGATTCAGTACACTCGCAGTGCTTACGTGTCACAAACCACAGGGTACTCAGCAGTAAGCATGACACTTTGCTGGAATGTCAGATGTTCCAGCCCTCAAAAGAGATCGTTTCCTCTCAATGTAAAACCTCAATCCACACAGAATTAAGTGTGAACTATAAATTAATAGGCACAGGAAAATGCACTCAAATTATAAACCAACGAGCATTGTGGTATCCATCCACTGACAGCAGTACAGATGAGCATTGATTCAAAGTAAGCTCCCAGTTATCAGAAGAACCTGTAACATGTCTTTAAAAACATGTGATTGAATGTGCTCGCATGAAGAAATGATAAATCTTCTTAGGTGGATGCAATGTGGGAACTCAGGGAACAACGTGATAGACATCAAACAATATCACCCCTTCCTCACATCGCATTCCTTGTGCAGCGAGCAGGATACCTTAGAGAGAATATTGTAAATGGTATGAGCGTGACAGAGATGGAGATGGAGTTTTGGAAAATTCTACTGAAATCTGTTTAACTGAATTCACTTGAATATGATAAATATGTTGAAAAGTTTAAATATCATGTGAAAGCCAAATGCATCCGGAGGGAGAAGCTCTACGTCAATGGCATAAGATACGTCCTGAAACGACTGGGGTACGTTGCTTATTCTAAATGCAAATGTAATAGTATTTAATTGGGAAAATCAAATAATTCCAACGAAATATGAAGCAGGTAGAAATTAAAAAATGCTTTCAGCTGGTCGCCATTCAACGAGTTTGAATCCAACCAAAACCACTACACCATCCCACATCTTTGATCTCACATAGCGAAATCGGATGAAATTTCAGAGCACATTTCTTTCGAATCTCGAAAATAAACCCAGTCAACAGATTACTATTCATAAATGAGACCAATGCTGTTTGAACTTTTGAGCAACCCTCGGTTTACTAATAACGCTCTAATGAAGAATGGATTCGGGGAATCATTTTGGGGCATCCTATTTCAATTTGTAATTAAAAGTTCCCCTATTTTTCCCCAAATAAACAATTATATTCATATTTTTTGTTTGCGGTGTTTCCAAAGTGATAATATACAGAATGAATAAAATTTTGATGAAAATGAAGTTATTTGAAGAAAATTAAGAAGTGCATATCTTGTAGATAGTTTGAAACATTCTCAAACAACGTACAGGAACGCGCGATGGAACTTAGGAGCGTTGTGTACAATTGAAAGCAATCAAATGTTAGGGCTCCTAGATACTCCGTTAGGTGGTTTGCATGTAACTGAAAATTACCATCCCAGCTTCTCAATTTTTCTGGCATTAATAAATACGCGCTATTTTGACACATTTCACACCTCAGAGCAAATACAGTCAATTAATTATTGAAAAGTCCTATGAGCTAAAATAAATAATAATTGCATAAACTTCTGATCTCTGTAGTGCTTAAATTCTGTTTGAAAGAAACTGAATAAAGACGGCAAAGATGAGTGAAGAAGAATGTTTTCTGGACTAAAGTTCTCAAAATAGGGGGTGTGGTTTGAACGGAGCAGCTTGAGTCACTTCACTATTCACCACGCTTAGGCTATTCGGTCTTTATGTGGTTCTTCACTCCAAGTTCTGGGACTTAGATTACCGATTTGCATCGCTGATAAACAGGTCTTCGTGAATATGAGGGTTACCCTATCTGCTGTTGATTACACTAATGTGTGTAATGAAAAATGCGTCAATGGAACTATTTATAAACTTAATATTACTAATGTTGAGGGGTACTACTCACATTTGTGATTAGTAGGCAATATAGTAGGTGATTTCTTTCGCTGTTCAAAAATATAACGAGACCACTGAAGGTAAAGTGCTGTATCTGAAAGAACAACTACCGATTACCTCATGCATGACCCGGTGTGCCATCAAGAACTGCGATGATGTGTTTCAAATGAGATTTTTTGTTGTATGTATGCTTAGCTAACGATACCCAAATGTAATCCGCAATAAACAACTTCCCTTGACCGAGCACCGTCTGGTGGAAATGTAACACTACTATCATTATTTTTGTTATTCTTATATAAATCAAATGCTTCCATCAGTCTGAGCGAATACTGGGCCATGTTTATCGATAGGCGGCAGTTACAACTGAGTTATCGAACAACCAAGCTTGATCCGATATGGGTTCAGAATTGTATGAACGATAAGTTATAAAGTATTTTGCGTCACTGATGACACTTTGAAACAATCAGTCGTGTTTGTCGGTTTATTAAAAATCATTGCGTCATGCTGAGCAATGCATATACGATTCTGCAGGGGGCAAATAACACCGTGAACTTCAACTAATCTAAGATATCAACAACTCCAAATGTGCCACTCACGTGGATGGACTATCAGTCTATCATTGTCTCGACTATCACTCTGTGTAGTAGTGAGTGTTTAAGTGTTCATTCTTTCCTTTTTCTAACAGTCTGTATAATTTTACCATGCAATATTGATTAGTTTAACAGCACGACGAAACTCCACGTATGCAGAGAACTTTTATTAGATGCACCCTACGAAACGGTCACAGTTAAAATATTCCCATCGATGATAAGGCCTGAAGACTGAAGGAGAATGTGCACACTTGTAAAATGGAGGGTATGAGTCTCTCGGCATTCGTCGGAATTTTATAATCTCGATGGACCGTTAGTTAGTGAATAGAATGCAGACAATGTAATGTAGACAATGAAGAAGACGGAAAAGTCTGGAATAAAATCTCCATCGATTAGTGGCATGGGGTGTCCCCAGCTGACGCGCAAAACCGATTTAACGACTAAACCGGTTGCATCATCATCATCATCATGCAGCGAAATATAGTGGGGCGAACTTCACTGATCGCTGCCAAACTCACAATGCGTACCAGGTTAGTGAGAAAATTTAAAGTGGGCAGGGATTGTAGCTACTTTGAAGAAGAGGGAAGAAGGTGAATCACTCTG